CCCGAGGGCTGCTCATGGAAGTGCCACAGGCTGCTGGTGGCGGTTGGACACGACCATTTATTGAGCAGCTACCTGGTGCCAGAGATTTTGCAAACTCTGCCCCATTTGATTCTCCCGACAAGCCCGAAAGGCAGGGTAATATCAATCTCATTTCACAGACGAGCAAATCGGGTTAGGAAACTTCCACCAGAGAAACACCGGAAACGGTGGAGCAAGAAGGCAAACATGGACTTGGCTTGACGCTTTCCACCACTCACAGTCAGCCTGGCGCCACGTTCCTGCGTGATGGGATAGAAAGGGCCCCAGCCTTTCCAGAGGCTGATTCTTGAAGCACGTGCCGGCTCCAGAACTCGTGAGCCGTGTGACCCAAAGGAGACTGCGAAACCTTTCTAGATCACTTCTGCCCACAGATGTCAAAGTGCTGGCCTGCCTGGTTCTCAGGACTGCTGTGCCCATCACCGCAGAGAACAGGAAGCTGCCCTGTGATAGGTGAGGTCTGTGCCCCAAGAAATCCTGACCTGCCCGATTAGCGGAAAAGTGGTCGACTGGCATGACCGGGCCGACTGAATGACCAGGAGTGAAGGCTTTCTATTTTCACTCCTCCTTCTTTACAGAATCTTCCCACGTCCTGCTTGTGACTCCCCCGTGAGGCCGTGTCGATGCTGTTGGGCTCAGCTGTTTGTCTGCAGTTTGCAATGTGTATAGTTTATGGTGCTAATATTTGCAGTTTGCACACTGCAGAAGTTTCAGGAAAGCAAATTTTGTAACATGAGAAAGATTATTCTCTGTCTCTACGATATTCAGATTATTTTTGAAGTTTCCATTGGAAAGATGAATATGAAGGAAATTTAGTATAAATATTAACCACCTTCCTCATTTTGTTTCCCCAAAATGTAACAATTTATAGAAACACTTGGCTCTTCTTGTTATCCTGTCATAGCATTCTTGCCTAATAAATATTAATAAGTAGATAAAGGAAAATATAATTTTCTCAAAAATAGAAGTTGCATCCTGATGTCAGCGTTGTCTATATATCATGTAGTTTGATTTGTTTTCAGAGTAACTACTTTAGAGGAAAAAAAGAAAATAAACGATATATCTGAGAGTAAAAACTCTAGTGGTTATATATAACTGTATTTTTTGAATTATAGTCTATTGAGGAATCTTTTCTGAAGCAGTTTAATATAGGACTGACTTAGAGAATGAACTGAGAAGTCGAAGATAATTTCAGAATGTTTTGAAATTTTTTAAAGCAAAAGTGCCACGGTTTTCTCCTGCTTGTGTTTATAATCTGATGACTGTTTTTTTGGGGGGGGGGGGGGATTCCTTATTATTTAGCCAGTTAGCTGATTTAATCTTTTCCAAAAAATTGGTAGAAGGGAAAACAAATTTGTTGCTTGTATTTGGGATTTGACTTCAGTATTCTAAGTATGTGAGTGTCAAGCATAAAACATAATTGAGGAGATTATAGACACTTCTAAATGCAAACCAGTAGTTATTGTTATTAAGATGCAACTCATATTTTTTAATTTTTAAGGCTTTAATTTGACTAGTATGCTTGGCGATTTTTAGCAAAAAAAATTTTAAAGATGGCTAAGATTAATAATAATATGATAGTTCTATGTAACAGATTTGCTACATTGTTGAGACCTCCCACTCTAACATGCTGACATACACCAACCAGTCTTTTCCAGTGGATTTAATGCCATCAACTTTTACAAAGGTGATTTTCAGTATTAGCTTTTTAAAATGAAAATTTCCCAAAAAATGAATAAATACACGAGCATTTATAATAGTCCATGTTTCAGATACTCTGCGCTGCTGAATAGATCCTAACATCAGCCAGATATGTTTTGCCCTCGGTCACGGGGGAGATCAATAGAATTGATCAACGTAAAATCAGTTTCTGTTGGTGGCAAGGCAATTTTATATCACTTGCCTAGTGGGGCGGTATTTCCTTTACATACAAAGGGTTACTGACTAGGTATGTTTGGTAAAAGACCAAATGTTACGATTTTACATTTCAACTCAAAAATTTCTCCACTTTCAATGTTTCAGTTTTTAAAATATGAAATCACTCCATAACAGTATTTGTGGCATGCCAGGCACCACTAGCTGCTGACACTGAAGTTAGATCAGAATGGTCCTTCCTCTCGAGCTTCACTGAAGTCTGGTGAGGAAGAAGGGTGTAATGAGAGAAGGAAGTGAGGATGCTCTGGGTGTGTATGGGTGGGAATTTGCCCTGGCTTAGGACTCATGGAGACGTGAAAGATGAGGACTTAGGCAGCCAAACAGTAAGTGCAGAGAAAACAAGTGCCAAATTTGAGAACGGCCATGACTGTGTAGCCAGTGGTGCCAACCGGAATGAACAGGACAGCAATGGGAAGTGGATTACGGGATTGGGGTGGAATCCAAGCCGGATGGAAGGGACAGGGACAGGGGAGAAGGAAAGAGCACTCAGGGGGTTCGAAAACAGCTGTGGTAGAACTAGATGAGTAAGCCAGAAGAGGAGGCTGCAGTCAGAGCGGAAGGCCAGAATTCACGTCAGAGAGAGAGCAGGTCTGGGTCTGACGAGGCCTCGGGTGCCTCTGTGTGGGACGTGATCGAATTGGCGCAGGGCGGGATAAAGCTGGAGGTAGGGTGGTTGAGAACATGAGGGGCAAAGTGTTGGATGGCTGGTTCGCCTGCACCTTGAAGATACTCAGAAGGATGGCAGGACTTGGAGAGGAGAGGAGCGAAGGAGGTGAGGAGAGGTGGTTCATAGATGTCAGCCAGGACAAGTGGTGGAGGAGATACCCAAATGCCAAGAGGCGCAGGGAAACTAGTTCACAGGAGGGTAAACGTTTTGGAAAGTTTTCAGAAAGGAGCTATGTGGGATGGGGAGGACCCCCAGCCCACCCAGCCCCAAAGCCTAGTCTTTCTTGATTCTCCCCATTTCAGTCTACTGGCAAATCCTACTGATTGGTCCCTAGAATATATTTTCAATCTGTTCTCTTTATTTCCATTGCCATGGCCCGGGTTCAGCCACCACTATGTGTCACACGTCTAACTTCCTAACTCTCCTCCCTGTTTTCATTTTTGCTACCATGCCATCCGTTTCCTCTAGAATTTCTCATGTAACGTCACTCCCCTGCTTTCAACGCTTCGGTGGCTTCCTACTGCTCTTAGAATAAAATCCAGGCTTCCTGTGAGGCCCTGCCCAGCCACTCTGCCGTCAGCCCTTCTCAGGTCGCGCCTCGAGCTTCTGACACACCGGCTTCCTCTGCCCCTGCGAGAAGGCGAGCCCCGTGCCAGCTCAGCACTGCGTGTGCCACTCTGTGTGGCTGGATTCATGGCGCTCTCTACGCGGCCTGGCACTTGAAGGTGCTCAACTAATGTTTGTTAAACGAGTGAAAAACCAGCCTCCTGGAGAGAGGACTGGGGTCGGGGCGGGTGGGGGGAGGGGGGTGGTTCAAGTGAATGCCAGAGGTCGAGGCTGTGGGGGGCTTAATTACGGAACGTGAGTTCCAGGGGACGCGAAGGAAGGCCTTTAAAAGGAGGAGTGTGGCCAGGAGAGTGGAGGCACAGAGAACGTGGGGTCTGTGGGACTAAGAGGCTGTGTAATTATGGCCTAACAGGTAAACTAAGTATTACGAAATAGACCAAGGTTTCATGTGGCCAAGCCGCCCACACTCTTCAGATGATTTTGGGCAACTCAACACTGCTGAAGGTTTAAGGCTTGGGTGAGGGCATAACTGCAGAATCCTTCTGCCTCAGGTTATTTTTTCCTACTTTCCAGGAATTCTTGGTTTGGGGATTTACTTTTTGACTAGGGGTGAGGAAAAACAGTTTACTGTGGACTGCATTGCCTCTCCATTACGTTAGAATAGAAGCTTTCAACCTTTTTTCCATGACCCCACTGTCAAAACTATATTTCATGTTACCTATGATACAACTCATATAACAGAAAGTTGTCACACAAAATAATATCTTTAGTATTGCCTTCTGATATATTTTATTCTATTTCATTTTTTAAAAAGTGATCGTCGGGGCCCACTAAAGAGCCATCTGTAACTTGAAAAACACTGTTCTAGAAGCTGAAGGTATCATTTCCTCTGAACGATAGGATAGCTTATCCATCTGTCTTGATTTTGTCCTTCTGGAGGGAGGGAGGGAGAGAGATGGAAAGGGGAAAAAGGGGCTTCTGTTTGTGACTCTAGTGTTTACGTCAATATTTAGGACAGCTTCTGAATATTTTTCAGTGAATAAGCCAGTATTTCAAAGGCCTCTGACCCATTTCCTTTTCCTTGCTCTGTTTCCGAATGTCTGTTGCACAGGGCGATGAAATGGAGAAGAAGTGACTAATTCTTTTCCTTTTATCCACCGTCTGTCATTCTTTGTCTTTATTTGAAGAAAGCATCTTTTATTGCCACGCATGCCAGAGGTAGGCCTTCAACCGCAAAGTTACTGTGCTCATATAACTGATTCTAAAGAAAGACAAATTTTAAACATTTTCATGAACCGTGCAGAAATTATGGAACAACATTTAGAAGTGAAAATATTTTAAGTTATAGTCCTTTAGGTGAACAATGCCCATTAACAGTATGAGCTAAGATGCTGAAGATAACACGCCAGTACTCAAAGGGGACTTGGTGGTATTTTTACTTAAAGAAATGAAGTTCAAAGACTGCATCCATTTTTATATGTTTCTTTTGTTTTTTCTGATTATCATGAGTACGATGTTTACGGTGAAGAAGTTGGAAGATACAGAAAAAGAGAGAGAAAAGCAGAGAACAGGAGCTGACCTGGTGGCATAGTGGTTAAGTTCCTGCGCTCTGCTCTGGCGGCCCTGGGTTCGCAGGTTCAGATCCTGGGTGCACACCTAGACACCACTCATCAAGCTATGCTGTGGCGGCACCCCATATACAAAATAGAGGAAGACTGGCACAAATGTTAGCTCAGGGACAGTCTTCCTCAAGCAAAAAGAGGAAGATGGGCCACAGATGTTAGCTCAGGGCCAATCTTCCTCACCAAAAAAAAGAAAAAAGAAAGAAAAGCATTCAGCATTCTCACAACCATTTAAGTGACATTTTGTTGTATTTCCTTTCAGTTTTCCCTATGCACATAACATTTTTGTCCTTTTATTTTTCTGTGTAGTTTTGAATCCCACTTTAGTTCCTTGAAGCACCATTACTGGTTGTTGGTAATTTTTCATGGTTACGATGGTGAAACATGTAACGCTCTGAATGCCTTGGTGTGCACTTCTTTATAGCTGTCTCCTGTTGTTCTGGTGTGGTCAGGTCTGTAAGTAGAATATGCTGGGTTAGAAAGTCGGAAAATTCTTAAGGCTTCGCTATTGCTAGATTGGCCTCCCGAGAGAGTGTGCCTGCGTACTCTCACCTGCTGTGCATGGAAGTGCCCCGCTCACCCCACTCTTGCCAACTCTAGAGATTTCTTTCTAAGAAATGTTGCCGTTTTGATAGGAGAAATGCAATCATTTTAATTTGCATTTTTATGATTATTTTGGAAGTTGTTTTCTTATGTTTATTGGCCATTTTTCTTTGGTTAAGTGACATTGCCTACATTTTGATTTCAGACATCATTTAAGTTAAACACACCGTTAATGTAACGTCCCTGTAATGTGGACTCAACTTTCCTTTTGGTAGTTTAAATCAGTACAACTTTCCTGCAGGTCAGTTTATATCTAAAGTTTATACCAAGCTCTACGTGCGTAGAGTTTGTCAGCCACCAATTACAATTCTAGGGCCATTCCTATGGGCATGCTGTGGGACGTGGATCAGATTGAACAAAGATGTGCCTCCAGCACTGTTTCTTAAGAGTGAAAATGGAGACGTTCTAAATGTCCACACAGGTGGACTCATTCCGTCTCCATAGAGTGCAGTCTTTAAAAACAATTCTATAAAAACGGAAAGATGCTCAGTATTTACTCAGTTACAAAAAAGTTGTGAGATAAAGAATAGGGTGATTCCTGTTTTCTTTCTGTAAGAATGTACACGTAGGAAAAGCCTCGCAGGGTTAACAGTGTATTATATCTGGGTGATGGGATGGGGGGAGGTATTTTTTTCCCAAGTCTTTCTTTGTAGATTCTAACTTGTCTAGAGTGACACATGTATGCGTAAAAAGTAAAGCTCTGCAAAAAAAACCAACAAAAGTGAGACGGCCTAAATTTCACAGTGTCAGTGTTATTGGAAGCAAAAAGCACACTTGATGTAAAGGTATGGGGCATCTTGGCACATGGTTACTTTAGCTAGAACATGATCTGCTTAAAAATAAGCTAACGTAAAGCGTCTTTAAACTCACCCTCATCATTTACTTGGAATATTATTTGCTCCATTTTAAGTTAATGTGAAATTTAAATCCACTTTCATGAATATTGACAGGTCTTTGGTTAATATGCTAATAAGAAAACTTCTTACCCCAGCTTGGCTCATGTTGTCAGTCATCCGAGCTGTTGCCCTTCCTACGCAGGGAAGGGATGTTAATCCGGGGTCAGTAGAAAACATTTAGAGTTTTTCTGAACTCTAGAATGGTTCCAGGATGGCTCTGTGTTCAGCAATAAATCCTATACCATTTTCCTTTTTCTTTTCTTTTTTTTTTTGTGAGGAAGATTGGCCCTCAGCTAACATCTGTTGCCAATCTTCCTCCATTTTATGTGGGGCGCTGCCACAGCATGGCTTGATGAGTGGTGCTAGGTCCACGCCTTGGATCCGAACCTGCAAACCCTGGGCTGCCAAAGCAAAGTGCACAAACTTAACCACTACGCCACTGGGCAGGCCCCTCCACTTTTCTTTTTGAAGGAAAATTAATTTTTAAAGAGAGACTGAGTTGGGTTGTCTCTTTAAGCACATGAATATTAAGAGAGATGACAGAAATTCATTTTAGTCGTATATTACCTGTCTTTAACAGATGTGATCTTTGTTACGTTCTTTAAGGCTCCTGACTCTACTCTTTCCCTCAGAAATGATTGCTTCCTCCGCACCCTTTAGCTTTAGAAGGCCAGCATATCTGGAATTTGACTCTAGATTTATCATTGCTGAAGCCACAGCATTGCATTTATTTATTTTTGACGCAGCTCTCTGCATTCCTTGGTTACCAAAAGCCACACTTGAATACTGCATACCTAGAGAATGACGCACGGCTCAAGGAAAGGTACCCGGGACTCAGGGAAATCTAACTGGGATGGAGATCTCTTTGGAACTCAGGAAAGTGTCGTTTGCTTAAATCCTCAAGAACTCTTGTTAGAAACCTTTCTAGAAAATCTCAGCGCATTATTTTAAAGCTGGTTTATGCTGAACTCCGCAGCCACCGTTGACCAGCTTCTAGTAACTAGAAGCCACAAATTGTAAGGCAGTTGAGGAAATCTTGTTGTTTTTTGTGTGGTCTCTTCTTGGTGGAGTTTTCTCTTCCTCTCTTCCGTGTTAGTTCTGGTTCCGTGGTGACCCTGGAGAGCTGGATGGCTACCCTGAAGAGCCACACTGGCTCTCAAGTCATCTGTGGTGAGGTTGCCGTGGGCCCACTGCCGTTCCCACAGGTCTTTTCATTCTGCAATTCCCTCTATTAATTTCCTTGGAAGAGAGCTACCTGTGATGCTCACCATGGTGGTTTCTCACTTTATTTTTTCCTGTTAAATTTATTTACTATCTCTGTGTAGAGATTGGTCTTTTGGGGAATAGAAAAATAGGAAACATTCAGCAAAGAGTGTGTCTGTGTCTCAGGGTGCTGGGCCGTGTGGGGCAGATGTGATCCAGGTCAGTGCGGCTGGAATGGCTGGGCCTCAGAGGGGCGCTGGGCTTTGAACCCAGCCTTCCCTGCGGGGGCTCACGCCGGAATGTTCTTCTGCTGTCTGCCTTCTGTGAAACGGCTTCCGACCAAGCGCTCTGTCAAATGATCGATGAGAAGTAAGTTCGGATTCCCTGAGTGGAAAAGAAGGAATCCATAGTGAGTCCAGACTTCCTCCAGGCGTCTCAGCATTCATTGAACGGGCTGTTCAAAAAGTACCCAGTACCTTCCCGGCGCTGTTTGAGGTCCTGGTGCCACAGGTGATGTCCTGCTGTCAGAGTGTGTCGCTGGCATCTTTAAAGCTGGTTTCTGAATAGAACGTCTATGTAGATAGTTTTATGAATAACTGCTGCAAAACGGTGCTAAGGAAAATGAAGACGTTTCGGGGGCACATCTCTTAAGCTTCCCATGGTCTCCTGGGCTGGGTAGACCAGCTGTGGGCTAAGACTTCTTTCCTATTTCTCCAGCACTTTTCTTGACTTAAACAAAAGCCATAACATTTTAATATTCATTATGTATTTCCTGGAGCACCCATATTACTCATGCTTTTGAGAACAAACATTTAAATCTGGGTGGAAATGTAACCAAGATGTGAAAATGTTCATATTCTTTTTTTCTTTTGAGGAAGATCAGCCCTGAGCTAACATCTGCCGCCAATCCTCCTCTTTTTGCTGAGGAAGACTGGCCCTGAGCTAACATGTGTGCCCATCTTCCTCTACTTTATATGTGGTACACCTGCCACAGCACGGCTTGATGAGCAGTGCGTAGGTCTGCACCCAAGATCCGAACCGGTGAACCCCGGGCTGCTGAAGTGGAACGTGCAAACTTAACCGCTGCGCCACCAGGCTGGCCCCCAAAATGTTCATTTTTTGACTTGGTTACCCTAGTCCAAGAATTTCAGAATCTAGTAAGACGTATCTACAGTGTTATTTTTGATGGTCTCCCCCAAACACAAGAGAAATGCCTTATGCCCCACAGAAGGAACATTAAATTCTGGAGTTTATTAGACGGCAAACATATTTAACCACTGAAAATTATAAATATGAAGTGCCTGGCAACATGGATAAAAATACAGCGAAAAGGAAAAACCCCCAAATAGCACGGGTACCATGAATACAATTTAAATTTATCTTAATGTATTGATAAGGAAGGAAGTATTTGATTTGGTGCAATGAGAGTATTATGCCATTAATACTTTTTTCTTCTTTTATACTGACTTTCATGAATGTCACTATAATATTTGTACAAAAATAAAACAAAACCAGTTGAGTTAATACATCCATGCTATACCTGGTTTTGGAATGATTATTGATGTGGGCAAAAATATTGTCTGTTATGTTGAACCCAGTGTACAGAGAGGGTGGTGAAAGCAAGTACAAGAGCTGAAAATGAACGCTGGACTTCTGTACTTTCTTAATTTTTAGCTAGGCTTTGAATTGCCACGATGATGCCCTGAAATATCAGTGTGAACCACGTCAGAATATACTGCGAGAAGGCTGACGTGGTGTGTGTTCATCTAGGTTGTCGGGGGTCCATGTTCAACGAACTGTGTGGATTGATAGCAACACAATGTTTTATCCCCAAGATTACGCAAAGTGGACTCGCACCATAGACGTGATGCACCCGAGGAAAGTGAGTGTGTTGTGAAGCCGTATGATCATTCAGGGAGTGCACGGTCGGGTAGCTCAAACTGAACCAGCAGTCAAGTCTAGATCCACCTTCACACTCATGCTGACAAGGAGAGGCCCTGTGAGATCAAGTCTTTTCCTGAGAATCCAGATATAATGAAAAACTAGAATATCCTAAAGTTACTAGATTAAGGCAAAATGCAGAAATTAAAATGTCTTTTGTCTGATTGTGTTTCTACAAATTCCCTGTTGAATTAGTGAATTGAGTATCTTCACTAGTGATAATTAAGAAGTATGATAGGAAATTTGTAGTTCCCTGTTAAATTGAGTGGACTCACAGATGATGCTGTAGCTGGAATCTTGTAGTTTTTAAAAACTTAATTTTTTAAAAAATTATTTCTAGGAACGTAGGCCTCTCCTTAAATTTGAGAGCGCTTTGAACTTTGAATAGTCGAGATCTTTCTTAGACTCTGTCTGGAATGGGAAGACTTGGATCATTCATCATGGACGATATGTCATTGACTTAGAAAGCCTTTTACCAAATCTCATGTAAAAACAGAATTCTGCACTGTCACGTAGCAGCCTGCCTACTCCCTGTTCCGTATCCCTTCCTGCAGCCAGCGATAAGCTACTTACTGCGCCCTTGGACCTGGTCTTCATTTAGTCCCTCAGTCATTCATTCTTAGGAATCTGACTCTCTGCTAGACCCCAGGCACTGTCAGGTCCTGGAATATACTGATAAACTAAGGCAGTCAAGGTTCCTGCTCTCCCGGAAGTAACGTTCTAGTGGGAGCAAGCAGAGAATAGCAAGGAGGATAACTCCATTGTGGTGAGTGCTACCAAGAAAGGACGCAGGATGGTGAGCTAGAGAATGGGGTGGTTACGCTAGACTGTATCTCCAGGGAGAGTTAAGACGCATCTCGGGCCATGTCGCATTTCCTGACACCCCTAGGAGCAGCCCTGAGCCCATCAGTAGACACAACTGAAATGGTGAGTTAGAGGGTGAAGGAGATTACAGTGGGATGAGGAGGTGCTCAAAACCTATTAGTCAGTTTGACCAAGAAACTTCTGAACTCCAACACGATTGAGTCTACAGAGACAGTCTTTAGAATGGCCCCACTTTGGTTCTATTAAGTTTTAACATCCAACTTTTAAATATAGCATGTAGCAAATGTATTCACTTTTGGGTGAAACTTCTTTTCTGACTTAAGGCAGGTATTTATGCCTCTATAATTTCACATTACAAATGGTATTTTTATTTTGATGAGCTGTGTTCCTTTCTTCCTGCATTCATTCATTCAGCCAATATTTATTGAGAACCTACTAGGTCCTGGAGACGCTGAGGTGAACAAAATAACAGTAATCTCTGCTCCCATGTGGGTGTGTGCTGGTTATGCCACTCCCAGTCCTCTTCCTTTTCCTTCTGACTTTATACGAATATACTGCTACCACCACCGCTTACCATGACACCATGTCTGGAAGACGCTGTTTGTGTGGTGTAAATAGATCTATTTTGTGTTCTGCTGCTCTTTCCCCTTAAACATTGTTATTGTCAGTGGTTTTTATTCTTTGGGATGTGGGTAGTTTAAATTTTATTAGGGTAATTTTGGTGTGTTAGGTACTCTTTTGGCCGTCAGAGTGCTTTTCTTTGTTTAGGAGCATATAGAACTCCTGGTCCCTGACTGATTTTGCAGTCACAACATAGCTGGAGTGAAGATCCAGCTTGAAGCGTTGTGAGATAAATCATTTCCACATTCTTGCTTAAGTGGCCATTTTAGTGTAGAGAAGCACATTTTCTGTCGAAAGCCAACGCGAGTGTCTCCTTGACCCAAGGTCTCAACAGTTTTTGAGCAACACAGGTATGATGGTTTAGAAAGAGCTCCATAGATAAAGCCTGCAGAGTTAAAATTTTTCCCTTTGAAGACACGGAAAAAGCATTCATTTGAAACAGTATAATTCGCATATATCAATAATGAAGAGAGGGTCTGTTTTCGTTTCTTATTTACTGGCACGCCAAAATACCTGTGTCCCCGGGACTAAGCATTCGCTCAGCAAGGGCTCAACTTCTCCAGACGGATTTCTGGGTCCTTATGAACATTTTCATCTCAAGACAGTGAATCAGATCTGTAGATTTTGTTTCTTTTTTAATGCTTTTTATAACAAACAAAAACTCTGTCTCCTTTCACGTGTAAACATTGATGGCTGCCATCTGCGTGAACGCAGAGCCCGTGAAGACCAAGTTACGGCTCGCTCCCGGCGTTGTCTGTGGGGAGCATGAACTCTCTTTGGTAGCAGACCAAAGCAGAGGGGCAGCCCCACCTCGTCATCTGCCCTGGGGAGCTGTGGGTTTGTCTAGGAGAGAGCCACTCCCCAGGCGCCTTGGGTGTGAAAAGTCCATTTTTGAGGAACAAACATCAAAACAAAGCCCTCACAGCTGTGTACCTTCTACCTCCGAGACCAGGATCCAAAGTCCATCTAGAAACGGCTTAGCTGCCCCCAGAGCCAGGGGCGGCTGAGCACAGGGGGTGGGCCCTGAGGTTTTCACAAGCCACGTCCTCTCCAGAAGGAGCCGGGCTTGGGAGGCAGATGCCCGCAGCCGGTCCCTTTAGGAGGGGACCTGAGCCGGGAGCTCTCCAGAGGTGGAGCCACGTGCCTGTCCAGTCTGACTGTGACCTGGGCTCCCGGGAAGCTCGGTTGACTTTCGGGAGGTCCGAGGGGTGGTGGCCACACTGATGTGAATATTTGGCTGGCTGTCAAATGTTGGGCAAGTGCCCTGCCCCCAGGTTTTAAAGGACAGATGTTTGAAATGAGCTGTTGATAATTTGAAAAGAATTTCTGTGCTAACTTATTTTTATATAGAGTGGCGTATGAAGCCTTGTACGTAACCTTTTTCCTTTTGAGAATTATCAGAACAGTGTATCAACATTATAAAAAGTTAAGGAAAAAGAGGGGGAAAAATCACCCTTAATCCTGCCTTCCGTTTTTCTTACATGAAGATAATATTTGAACATGGTTGCAATCATAATGCATATCTAATTTGTATTCTACTTTTTCATTTAACGTTGTCTTCATTTTTTCCATATTTTGACAGTCTTCGTAATTCATCTTTAATGACTGTGTAAGTTTTCCTTAGGAAGATGTCCCATAATTAACATTTTTCCTATTATTGGGCATTTAGGTTGATTCAGATTTTGTGGTGAACATCTTTTTTCCTTTGGATCATTTCTTAAGATCAGTTTCCAGCAAGAGGATTGCTGCGTCAAAGGGAATAGACATTTTTATGACTCCTGATCCACACTGTTAAATTGCTTTACAAAAGGTTTGACCTTTTTCTTTGCACAACTTTAAAGGTGAATCATCAGCCATGAGCCATTGCTTACATTTTTGGACAGTTAATTATTATTCCCATATTAGGCAGGGAGAGCAGCTCTGTGTACATCTGAATTTCTTCTAATTGCTTTCATTACATAGAGCTGACTTGTTGCGAAAAATGTCCTGGCTGTGAGACGTTCCAGACAACAGAGCCATCACTTTTGAAAAGTCTGGACCAATCCCAATTTTGTAATCAGTTCCCAGAGTTGTTCGTATTTCTTTTGGCAGAGATGTCTGTCTCTGTGGTCGAGCACAGCTGAAGGGTTGAAGTCACAGGGCGAGCTGATCAAGGTGCCTATTTTAGCATTAGGTTGGCAGCCTGTGGCCAGGTGTCTGGGTATTTTGAGAGAAGTAATTTTGAAAAGTAATTTGCAATTCATACTGTGAATAGCAGCCGAAAAGTCATATGCAGGGCTTCTGTGGAAATTCATTCTCTCTCCCTCCCTCCCTCCCTCTCTCTCTCTCTCTCTCTCTCTCTCTCTCTCTCTCCTCTTTATGAGTTGGAGGATAGTCATTAGGTTTTGGTGAAAACATACGGACTGCAGGCAATCAGGATGTGTCCGTCCTGGCGGCATGTGCCACAGTGCCTTTGCTGTGCAGCAAATTTCTTGTGCTGGGTTTCCCCCTCTGACGAGCAAGGGTGTTGGAAACAGGAGTCCCAAAGTCCCTAAAAGTTTTTAGGTTCTCTGTCCTGTGGATGACTCCAACTGTGTCTTCGTTTTTGCAGCCAAAGATGTAATTTCCCTATTCACTGCTGCTTCTGTCAGGCAACAATGGAAAAGAACAGGATGTGAAACACAGGCCAATGTTTACAGTTTGACATTTCCACCAAAGGATTTCATGGCGTCTATCATCAGAACGAATGGCTAGAACTATTTTAACTACCTGTGGCTTGGATTTACTTAGGCCATCCCTTCTCCTCATTAATATGTTAAACATAAAACCAAGAAAAGAAAACAGCATTTGCTCTTGTCCAGCGGGTTCAGAGGAAGTTGATCCAACGTGTGGAACTGGTCTTGAACTGACTGACCATTACTTTATTTGCTGACTGTAAAAATTCTAGCATAAAAACTAGCATTCTCAGCAGCAACATCTTCAAACATGAAGGCCAACAGTATTTTATTTAGCATAGCATTTTGAAAGTCCAAAGGCGATTGGGTAAGACTTAGGCCATTCAGGGGAGGAGTAAAGGATGAACATGGGGTGGCCGTCACTTTGTTAGCTGTGTTATTTCTCATTTAGCCAGTTATGAGAGTAGCTATGCTCGTCTTCCCCTGTGAAGGCACCGAGTCAGAAGAGAGCTTTCGTCAGGAAGCTATGTGGTCACTTTCCTGCACATCGTGGGAGCTGCCCTTGGGGGGTTTTCTGTTGACCACTAAGGTCACGCTGGCTGAGCCTGAGCAGCGTACTTCACCTGTCTGTCTCTGTCCTGGTGAGAGGCTTGAGGCGTAGATTAGAGCTCATACACTGACAGCACAGCTGCCTTCGTGCAAGTGAGTGAGGATGCGTATTTAGCGAGGAGCCCAGTCTCCAGGCTGTCCCCAGGGAGTAGCTGCAGGAGGGCGCCGGATCCCAGGCCTGGAGGGCTGAGACTGCTGGAAGTGGGTTTCAGCGCCATAAAGCCATTCACATTCTTTCATCAAATTCAGCATGGGTTTTTTTTTTTTTTTTTTTTTTTTGAGTGCCTGTTATGAGGCAGGCGCTGTTTCAGGTATCAGGGGTACTCCTGTGAACAAAGCAGCGCCCCCCCACCCCCACCCCACCCCCCACCTGCTGGGGAGACAGACAGTAAATAAGTAAACAAACATGGTTTATCAGATGGAGATAAGTGCCCTGGAGAAAACACAGTATGTGGAGACCAAGAGTGACACGGGGTGGGAGGGGCGCTGTTTTCGGTAGGGCTTTCAGGTCACATGAGGTCAGATCAGCCTCTCATCAGAAGACACTGCAGCGTGTAAGAAGCAAGCAGGGAAGCTCTGAGCTTGTGATGTGAATATTGGGGCAAAGGCATCCCAGAATGAGAGAACAGCATGAACAAAGGCCCTGAGGCAGCAGCATGCTTGGTATGCTCCACCAAAGAGGCCAGTGTTGTGGCCGGAGTGGAGTGAACAGGGAAGAGAATGGAATAGGGACTGAGACCAGAGAGGTGGGTGGGGCGGCCTTGTAAATTAAGACAGGGCCATTCTTGGCCCTTTATTTTGAGTAAGATGGGAAGCCATAGAGATTTTTGAGCACAGGTGTGGCATCACCTGACTCTGTTGGAGCTTTACAGTGTGCTGTGGAGTCGGGGGCGGGGGGGCGGGTAGTGTGGATGGGAAGGAGATCACCCAGAGCTGTGCTTTCCAATATGGTAGCCACTAGCCACAGGTGGCTATTTTTAAGTAAATTAATTAAAAATTAAAAATTCATATCCACAATGGCACCACCCACGTGTCGAGTGCTCTCACATAGTCACATGTAGCTACTGGCTACCGTATTGGACAGTGAGATACAAATCATTTCCATCGTCACAGGAAGTCCTGTGCACAGTGCGGATGGCGTCTTGCAGTCTTTGTAGGGACTTGGGCTTTCACTCTGGGTAAATGGAAAACCTTCGGAAGGTTTTAAGCAGAGGAGGAAGATGCTCTGGGTTCTGATTTCAAAAGTCCGCTGGGGCTGCTGTGTTGAGAACAGACTGTAGGGAGGCAAGGGTCTAGATAAGAGACCACGAAGGGTCTAGATAAGAGATGGTCGTGTCTTGGATGAGGTGCTAGTGGAGGTGATGGTGACAAATGGTCGGACTTTGAAGGTATTTTGAAGGCAGAACCAACAGGCTTTCCTGTTAGAACAGATGTATGATTTGAGAAGAAAGTGATACAAGCGTTGGCGGTGATGACCAGGGGAGAGAAGGCAAAGCACGGGGAGGGACTGGACACGTGGAGGAGGCCGGCCCATCGTGAACCGGGAGGGAAGGCAGGCCTGTGGCTGGAGGAAGGAGACCGAGAGCCCTCCTCTGAGCGAGAGGAGATGAGGAGGTCGAGGGAGCCACAGGGATGTTGGAAGTTCAAGGACGGTGGGGAAGGTTCCCAGTCCTTGTTGGAAAGCAAGTTGGACAGAGAAACATAACACAGTTGTCTGACGTGTTGAGGGCCCATCTGAAGTGGGCGACCAGGAACCCCTCTACCCTCTTGATCTCCAGCACAGCGTGACTGCTCATACGCAAGTAAGGGGGGAGGAGAGGGCCAGGTTCATCGAGGGCTGATGTTTTTCTACGTAGATTTGCAGGAAATACAGAAGGCAAGGGAGTCAAGAGATTGGCAAGAAGGATATTACAACAGATCACGGACTCTAAATTGAAAAAGGAGGAAAGTGAGAAAAGCAGAGCGCCGGGGAACTGGGAGAGCGGAGGGATCAACAGACTGGAGGCTCCAAGCTTTCCGAGAACAGGTGGAGTTGTTGGTCATGCAAGTTCGATGGAGAGATGCTCATGGAAGAGCTGCCTGCTGGGGTCGGTAATTCCCCGGGTGGGGCTGACTTAGGTGACGACAAGGTCAGCCTTTGAATCTATGCGGATTTGTCTTCAGTACAGGCTGGCTTGCTAACTCCCGGAATTCCATATAATCTCATGGTGGATCTCATCTAAGCAGGTTTGGTAACCAAAAGCCCAAGAGCTCGGGATTGGGAGCCTAGAGACCCACCCACAGTTCCGGGCCTGTCGCACACTGGCTGCGGAACTACGGACATTGAGGAGCTGAACTTTGCGGTCCCTTCCATCTCCAGTCATCTGAGTGGGTGTGACAGCAGCAGCATCTGAGGCTGGGTGTCCTTAAGGTCCTGGGCTGACTGGACTTTCTGCAACTCTCTCCGCCTAACAAGCATTTTCCTCTTTTAGTTTTGTGAGCGCTGTGTAGGAGAGCTCCTTCAGCAGAAACGATAGAGGCTGTTGCTTTCAGAATCCAATGCGGTATTGTGACCGGTAAATTCCTATGAACCTCTGAACGTTTTATTGACATTTATTCGGGAGAGATTCCAGGAGGCAGAACTCGTGCCCTCCACCCCCACCCACCCCGCTCCCCCGCCATCCCCTCATCGCTCTTCCCTCTCTAGGACAGAAAGAATTAAGAACAATCTAAGGTAAATTTTTAACAAGATGGTTTAGCTTGGGCCTTGTAGGTTTGCCTGATGAAGTCAGTGGTAGCTTTTAGCTAAAATAACCACACTGTTTGCACAAGCTGTCTGGGGTCATTAGAATGATCGGACTGACTTACCTGCTGTTTGAACGGGTTGAGCCTCCGGAGGGACAGAAAACAAAAGGAGGGTGTTGAAATGCAAACAGACAGCTCTTGGTTCCCGTTCCCGGCTGCAAAATAAAGCTGAAGCTGACGTCAGCATCTCCTTGGAGGCCTGTGGAAAAGCTCTGGGCAAACCTCGCAGGGCGCGTGTCTCCTCGTGGACTGGAGTCCAAGGTGGGTAAGAAAAACAAGACACCAACAAACAAAGGATTTCATACTTGGAATTTGCTCGGCACCAGTTGAATAGCTGATTGTGTCTTGTTTCATCCCCACCCCCCCACCCCCTTTTCTGCCTGAATAGATAATCCTTACAAAACATCTATTCATTCTACAAGGGAAAATTTCGGGAGTGCTGGATACTGACCTTGGCAAGATGAATGGACCCACACTGAGCAATGGGTTTGTGTGCGTTGCGGCCGACGTGCGTTCTGGCGCTTTGTCTGCCAGGTTAAGAATATTTTAGTAATAGGAAAGGAGGATTTATGGCATTTTAATTAACACAATGAAAGCTTAAACTTGCAGATAAAACTATTAGATACATTATTTTCAGAGCTTATTTTTTAAGACAAACTTGATTTTGTTGCTTCAAGAAAGGACCTGCTGATAATTAATGGTAACTTTCTTTTCTATTTCAATGTGACCACTTTAATTGATATGCAAACAATTACTTTTTAAGGGAAATAAGGAGGCAGTGCAGCCTAGCGAAAAGGACACACTGTATCAGATTCTTCATTGCTTAATTAAATTTGAGCTCTTATTTGATTTCTGCTATGAACTGGCTGTGTGACTTTAGGTAAGTTATTCAGCTCTTTTTTTTTTAATTTATAAAATTGGAATGAGAAATATGTGACAGTAAAAAAAAAACATTTGTAAAAGCATTTTAAAGTCCCGTGAGAACGGCACAATCAGAAACCACAGTTGGGTGGGTTTCTGAACTGAAAAATACCTGATCTTGTCAGCAAACCTAAATTTTAGTCTATTGGTTTATTTTTTTTTAAGGCATCATTTAATTTCAGGTGCTTATGAACTCTTCAATTCGTTAATGGAAAGAAATGCCATTTACACCGGATGGCTACATAGCGACCTTATTCTGGTAAGATAATCTCTTAAATCCTTATATACACAGTCACTAACTGTTGGCTTTATAAGGTCAGCAGGAGCAGACGAGCTGTGGGGCTGTCAGGAGCTCAGCATGTCCAAGATAGCACTAACTGGAACAAACACAAAACAGCAGATCGTTTCAACAGCACCGACCAGTTCGAATGCAGCCCAGCCTGCACAGAGGACTCTTAAAAAAGAACTCGCCAGCCGAGTGACATTAAATAGGGAGATTGTTAGGTTGTGTCAGTGGAGTTTAGCTGTGCCTTATACAAAAGCAAAGTTCAGGGCGTGGAATTCCTTAAATTCAGTTCTTCTTAAACTATTAAAGACAACAGCTTGCAGGCCAGCTTTCACTTCTGACTGCTGACCACCGTTGGAAGAGAAAGCTTCTGAAACCGTCATTCCGGTCTCGAGGCCTCAGACAAGCGCCGCCCGGGGGACGGAGTGAGGTCTGCTGGGGTTGGCGGAGCCTCGTGGTTTTGGGAACAGGGAATGCCAGGCCCCCGGGTTCTGAGTTCCAGCATCGACTGCCCACGAGTGAACCTGGCCAGCCACCTGCTGTCTCGTGTTTCCCTCTTTAGAGAAGAGCTGAGACTTGACTTTTTCGGGGGTTGCAAAACACGTTAAAAAGGATAGGAAGGCACCATGCAGACATGGGAGTGTGAACTGTCAGAGGAGGCGAGTCCTATAAAGGCAAATGTGTTCTTGCGATAATTGGAAGTTGATCATCTTTATGTCAGAATAGCGAGTTTGATTTCAAAATAGAGTTTCATGTTTGAAATTTTTTATTTGACCAGTGTGAATTCGGGTCATTGTTCGCTCTATTAATCTGTGTTGCTTACTGAAAGGAAACTGTTAACAAGCTACCTTACCAGAGCGGTTAATTGCTTATCAGAGAACAGAGCCCCAGGCTTTCTAGAAATGTGTATTAAAATTTAGTAACCTGACTTTCAAAGAGGGAGGCTAACCTTGGTTGAGTACAGGGCCCTGTGCCTGGGTTTCTATATGTGTCGTAAATAAACCGAATACACAAAGTAAATTCTCTAGGGACCTTAACCCAGTTAAACCAGTTGGTTTTTTCGAAGAAAACTGATTGAGGCTCCCATTTTATCCCTCACTTTCCCGGGACAGCTAGCTATTCAGCACCAGCTTGGAATTTGAATTCTGACTTCTTTCTGGACGTCACTTGGATGGCTCATTAATATGGCAAACCTTTCTAAAATGGAACTCAGTGTTTTTCTGTTCTTTTAATGGTGCGGCCACCCTCTCATCATTAAAAAAAAAGAGAGTGTAATTTTTAACTCTCACCCTCTCAGCCTTCTTTGTACTCTGCTAATCCAGCCAGTCCTGAAATCCTTTTAGTTTTTCCATCTGTTTCTAGCGTCTCTCTTCTGACTCCCAGTAAAAACTGTACTATATTGCCAGCATCCGAAATTAACAACTGTATCATTTTTGTCCTGTTTCAATTTATTTTAGTGAAGAAAAACACTAGAGATAAGGTCCAGTTCCCTTTGAATATTCCACTTCCATTCTCTCTTTCCAGTCTTACCCCACAGAGCCCACATTCAGTTTGATATGGGCTTTTAAAATATTTTATATATATTTACATGTACCCCCAATTAATATGTAGTATGGTTTTATGGGTTTAAATATATATAAGTGGTTCCGTATGTCCCCATTGTCCTATGATTTGCTTACTTTCACTGAACGTTGTTTTTCAGATCTATCCATGCTTATGTAGACATACAAATACATACATTCTACACACACACTCGCTGTTTTTAATTGCTATCTGGTATTTCATGGTATGATCAATACCACATTTTATTAATCAGTCCATCAGTGGATATGCAGATAGTTTAAAAATTTTCACTAATATAAACGATGCTTGCATTACTTTTACGCTTGTCAGATACAGGCAGTAGTTTCTTAGGCTCTAGATACCTAGATGCAGAATTGCAACATTTTGAATATGAGAGAGGTTACCAAACTGACTTTCAACTGTTTGAAAACTGTTTCTCTAAATACTCTCCAACACGTGTCAGACTTGGTTTTTTTTTAATTTAGTTAAAATAATTTTTTCTCGTGATGAGAACTTTTAAGATGTACTTTCAGCAACTTTCAAATATGCAGTACAGCATTATTAACTATAGCCACCATGCTGTACGTTACATCCTCATCAGACTTCTTAATTTTTGCTGATTTTAGGGGTAACGCATGGTTTTCTTTGGGTTTTCCAGCTCCATTTCCGTCCCTTCTGTCCACGGTCCTTCCCTACAGGCAGCTCTGTTCAGGGCGCGCTCCTGGTCAAACCCTTTGAGAGCACTCCACTATCTATTTGTTCCACACCACGCGGTCCTCTGCAAGTGGCCCAGCCAGCCTCACCTCTGTGCCCAGCTGCAGCAAAGCGAGCTGCTCACCATTTTCTCAGAGTCAGCTCTTGCTTTTCTGCCTCTGCAACTTGAGCCTGCAGTTCTGCATTACTTTATTGATTCAATAAATATTTATTGAGTTCTTTACTTCCTGCCAGGTGCTGGGAACAGAAGGGTGAACCAGAAAGACAATACCTAGGCATGCAGGGAGCTTCCAGTTTTTAGCAGAGAGTGGGGAGGGGCAGGAAAGAAACCAGTAAAGAAACGAACAACATAATTTTTCATAGTTTTAAGTACTCTAAAGAAAGTAAAATAGAGTGTTAGTGACTTTGTATGGGGGAGGGTGTCGGGGGATGTGGCGTGTCCAAGTGGAGCCGTAGGGGGCCAGGTATGTGGAGAAGGCTTCGCAGAGGAGATTATGCCCCACCTGAGACCAGCAGGGCGAAGCTCACCCGCAGGCCAGGAGTGGCCCCGCTGCCCTGAAGGACAGAGCTGCCCCTGTGGCCGGGCGGTGGGGCTGGGAGAGTGGTGGATGCTGCAGGAGACCAGGGCGGGCGCGCTGTGCCCTCCAGGCCCTGATGCTGGCTTCAGCTGCAGTTTGCCCTTTGAAGCTGTGGTCCATCCTCTTTTCATAACCATCCCGGATGCTGCCGCTGAGGGCTGTCCTGGACCATCACAGCACAGTGATGGGGGCCTCATACGGCACTTTTCACAGCACTCTGGGATCTTGGTGTCTGTTCTTCCCAAGAGCTACCTGGCTTTCACTGTGCTGTTTTGTTTTTGCTTTTTGGTGAGGAAGACTGGCCCTGAGCTAACATCCGTGCCCATCTTCCTCTACTTTATACGTGGGATGCCTGCCACAGCAAGGCTTGATGAGCAGTGTGTCGGTCCACACCTGGATCTGAACCAGCGCACCCTGGGCTGCCAAAGTGGAGCCTGCGAACTTAACCACTGCGCCACTGGGCCGGCCACTCATTTTGCTGTTTTGTTCCACCTCACAAGCGACAGCCGTCTGTTGTTTGGAACGAGGGAAACACAGGGAGAAAAGGCACAATGCAGAAGCAGCCGGTCCTCTGTGACTGACCCTCTCTGGAAGGAACTGAGTCTCAGTGAAGCAGGCTTTCCTGTGCGTCTCCAGGCTAATCTTCACAGCAGCCAATAAAGTGGATTTAGTTTCCCTTAATAATTGCTAAGACCAGTGGTAGTTCTCAAAGGGACTTTTTTCACCCTGCCCAGGTTTTTTCTCAGAATAACAATTAGATATTAACAATGAATAGTTATTAGCAGTCCTATTCTCAACGCTGTGCCTGCTCTGAGCTTTAGCTTTTTGTGAAGAAGTGGTGGCGTGTGACCTGCCGTGGGAACCTGCCCCAGCATCACCCACTGCCAGAGGCGACACTGTGCGCTGGAGACGGCGATGTGTACTTCCATGGGGTTACACCCCTCTGTCTTCTGGATGGTCTGTGAATTGTGGGGTGGGTTCATCTTACAGATGAAAGAACCGGGGTTCAGAGAGGTCACTCCTTGTCCCCAGGTTACAGAATTAGTGAAGAGTGAGCCAGCATTTCAATTTGGGGCTTCTGACCACTCCTCTGTGAAGCCGCCCTGCTTTCGAGCATCTAGCAAACACTTACCAACCACCTGCTATTTCCAGACACAGTCTCTGCGCTCTGACCACCGTGAGGTCCTGCTCATGGCTTCCTGCCCCCCAAGTCTCAGGTTCTCTGAGCGCTTAGCAGACAGTGAGGGGAATGGGTGCACCGGGTGAGAGTGTGGCCTCTGTGGGCAGCTGCCTGCTGGGTCCCGGTCTTCTCTCCCAGCTTATTAGTGTGGGCAGGTTATCTGGCAGCCCTGTGGGTTTGATTTCCCTATTTTTGAGTTGGGGGTAATCACAGTGTTTATCTCCCTGGGTTGTGGTAAGGAGTAAGCGGGATAATGCCGTAAAACGCTTCGTGAGCCCTTGGTTAATATTTGTGTGGTCTCGGGTGTCAGCTCAAATACTGCCTACTGGGGAGGCCCACCTGGCCCTGGAGCTGGTGTGGGCCTCCCCAGGCACTCAGCACCTCTGCCCTCTGCCTGCAGCCTGCCCGCCTCACTCTTGGTGGCTTTCCCACTCTGCACAGGCTTGTTGACTGCCTCGTCTCTCCCCACGGCCAGGTGACCATGTGAATTCTCCGTGGGCTGGTCTGCTTGCTCACGGCTTGGGCTCCTGGGCAGGGCCTGGCATGCAGTCGGCTCTCAGCGTCTGTTGGTTGACTGGCTCCCTGTTTCCAGTAAGCCTGAACTAGAGCTTCCATTTTGAACAAAATAATTGCAACTCTGGTTTCCCGTCAGCATGCCCTGGGCATCAGCGTTCCCTGGAACTCCGTTCCCCAGGCCTCAGAGATGACCCTGGGTGACCGTGAATCTGTGCACATGGCTCTGGCCCCTCCTTCAGTCTGCATTTCCAGCTATTAATAAAACAGTCTTACAGACATCCCAGAGTCAACGTGGTCACCACCGAGCTCATGGCCTTTTGTTTCAGGCCAGGCCCTCCTCCCGTGTGTGTCCCCAGCATCATCTGGCTGAGGACGTGTGCCTTCACCCACCCGCCTGGAGACCTTGGAGGGACCCTACATCT